TGTCGGCGACTTCCTCGATGGAAGTTCTGAAATTATTTCTCCGTGCCATTTCCCACTCGCACGAGTACGAATTATTATTATGGTACAAAGGTAGGTGGAAAGCGAGGAAAGCTAAGCAAGAACTGCTACCTCTTTCCGCGACTTCGTTTGCACATGGAGCTTTCTACAAGCCTCGTGGAACCGTGTGCATGAGAATAGGACAGGCAGGAGAGGGAAGTAGATACATACATTAACTGAAATAACAGAGAGAGACAAGAAGAGAAAGAGAGAGAGAGAGAGAGCAGGTAGCACAATCGGCAAAATAAAATAGTCACTGCGGTGGAAAATGGACGAGGGAAAATAAATCACGATTAATGAACGTCGTGTATCATATTCTGCGGTCTTCTACGCATTCATGAGGAATCTGAAGGCGTGCAAAATACATAGAATGTACATAACATGCAAGAATATATATAGTGTACTGCATAAAGAATGGATCGATCTCGATGCTATTTTTTTTTTTTTTTTAATGCAAATTTCAATTCGCAGCCCAGTTGTTAGAGAAGAATTGTTCGCGCATGTTCGATGAAAACTCGTCGATATTTTGAAATTTTCAAAGCCTGAAAAACCTTCGCTCCATTCCAGGATATAAATAATTTTGTACGTTGATTGAAAATTTGGAAAAAAAATTTGACAAGAATTAGCTTTATCGGAAGTCCCTCCGTCCATACTTCGAGTTTCATACAAATTTTAACTTCTGGATTTCACCTTTAAACAATAAAATCCAGAGCGTAACTTATACGATCGAGAATTCCTTAGAATTCCCACATTTTTGTACGAATAATAACGAATAATAACAAAGCTGTTTAATTAAATTTCTTCTGACAATTTGAAATCCACAAATCGAAGAAGTTCTTCAACGCGTGATCTATCGGATTATCTACGTAATTATATCGTAATTAAACACACGAGGAACAGTGATTAATGGTAAGGACCAATTGTGAACAGCCTTGAAGATACCCTAATAATAGAGAGCTAGTGGATTCTCGAATTCTGCCATCGGCTTTGTCTCTAATCCAAAAAGGACGGTCTATTAAACTATTTCCAAGGCCTCTTCAACGTCGCGTAATTCTGCCAAATGAATTTATGTCATCTGTTCCAATTCCTGATCGAACGAGTTCTGTTTCGTTGGGAATTCACCTGAAGCGGCCTCTTCGCTGAAAATCCAAACGAAAGTGGCTGAATAGATCTGAAAGATCGATCCATCAACAAGAGGAATTAAATTATCTCACAACTCGATATCTGTTGTAGAATATTTAAAATGTCTAGAATGTTCAAATAGAAAATTCAAATTTTTTCGTCGTCGTTTTGTTATCATAAAATCTAAATAGACATTGGATCGTTTGAATTTACTACAGCAGATTTAGATATTACATAACAGTATAAATATTCAATATTAAATATAAAAGGTATAAACATTAAATATTGTATTCACCTTTTAAATATTATAATAACACATTTTTGCACATTATGTTATTTTTCAAATCCATGGAAATTCACAGTCTATTTATAATCAGTATTTTAAAATATATTTGTATGCGTGTGCTTATGTTTAAAAAGCATATAAAAATGGTTCTCAAGAGTGCATTTAGCATTGTAGATCTTTCGGGCACAATTTTTAGAGTAATTAGAAAGTAAACATTTTTTATTTCTTTTTGCAAAGGTGAAAAAAATCTCTAAGTTAGTTGCAAGGAAACTATGTATACCTAATCGATACGTAATATCTCGGCTGCGTGTGTAGTAAAATTATATGATGTAACATGTCGTGGGAGTGCGCGTGTGAATTCAGACTGTCATGTAACTAACTAAACGCGAGCAGAATCTTTAAACTTCAATATGCATTCTGAATCGTCTGCTAAATCCCAATGAAACTGGAATTCAATCAACTGGCGTTAGTTTTTATTAAATATTTAATGGAATAGATCTTGAAGTCTTGATGAAGATCTGGAAGTATTTGTTAAATGGTTAAAGCAAAAATTTGGTCCTCTAGGATAGTTTCTCGTTTCTGTATAGTAAAACGTTTATGAAATATTAAAAAAAAAAAACAGTATTTTTTGAAGCTGTGTTCATCAAATTTTGCATTGCTTATTTAGAACGTTAGCTTACGTCCTTTTCTTTCCTGTTCATAGTAAACATTATCATCCAAAAATTTTGAGTAATTAATTCATTGACTTTACATTCAAATAATAAACGAATATATTTTATTTTTGAATTATATTCTATTATAGAATTTATGAAGAAATGTAATATCATTAACAATAATACTACAATTAATAATATAATCTTCTTCAAGGATTTGTCCCAAGCTTCCCAACACTTTGCTCCAACTCATTCTTTGGCGGATGACATTGCAAAATATCGAGCTATGATTTAGAAAATTTTCATCGAGCCTCTTTTCTCATTCATTTCATCGAACGACGATGATTCTAAAGGCCATAACATCAAGATATTTAACACTAGAGCTACCAGTCAAAACGACTGGTTTTACAATTTTATTTTAAAAAATTTCCATCTCTTGTTACATTTTTCCCTCCGCAATGATGTAATGACTCTCGCAGTGATAGCTAAAGAAATAATATAATGAATTTTATTTTATTTTTATTTATCAGAAATCAAAAGAATTTCGTATCATGGCTACTTTATACCAATACCAGTCAAAATGACTTGTCAAAGTGTAGAAAGGTCCTACAATCAGTTTCTTTACAATCTCTTACGCGTTTTTAGAATTTATACTGCTATCATTCGATATGACGGTGATAATATTTATCAGGAAAATTGCACGTTTCCTTTACTAATTGACGACCATATGCTAGCTTCTCGAGTTTTGGGTAAAAAATTTGCAACTCTCATATTTATGTAAACAGAAAGTGGGGACCAACCTTCTTTTCCAACACCATGAAATGATTTCACCGAAATATTGACATTTGTTCG